CCGATCCAGATTAAAACCCCGAGACCAACGTGTGCCAAACCAGGGCCCTGCTCTAGGAGGATATCAAACAAAACCGAAGGTTTCTTAGACAATACTGAAAAAATCTTGTCCTGGAGTTTGGGTTGGTTTATTGTTTTGTTTTGTTTTAAATTTGTAAACACACAGAGGTCATCTTACCCACAATTCTGGTCATACAATTAATGACCTGACACGTTGGGATATTTCACGTAGTACAGCTAAATTTCAACACGGGCAGATATAGCGCCCTACCCCACCCCTCCTCTTAAATAACCTAATAATGTTGATAGGGGCGTTAAACCTTTACCATTTCATATGTTCACAGTTGTGGCCTTCAGATACCGGGTAAACGACTTCTCCTAGTACTGGTCACATAATGGCAAATATTAGGTGAGAGAGCTGCTAGAATGTTAAAAATGTAAAGTCTTCTTTATGAAACGACAGGCAACAAATTTAAAGTTTGAACCCAAACCTCTCAGTAACCAAGCTTGCACTCAACCATTACGGTTAATTAATTTACTGACAAAAGGCCAGTCAAAGCACTGAACTTGTCACTCTAAAGCATTTTGTTTTAACCAGTCGGCTTTCGTTAAGATATTAGTTTAAATACTAGGCCTATAACTCGCCGTCGTCCATATAGACCTACACTTGTATAATGACAGCGAACAGTAGCACACAGCTGCGCCTAACCGGCAACATGACGCCTCGGGTCACGACTGTGTGCGGAAGCGTCATGCTCGAACCGCATTGTGCAGCACATTTTTTTGTCATGCCATAACCGGCTACGTGCAAAATAAAACTATGGGTTGTGGTATTTAAGAAAACTTAAGTAGCAGTCAGTCCAAACACGTATAACTTAACCTTTTGTACAGAAATAATATGTAAGATTGCGCTGCGCGTTATAACAATTTTCCGTTTTTTGTCCCTCCTGTAAAATTTGCCTTTCTGCAAGTAGCCGGTTTGTGAATAACACTGACGATATATATATAATAAGATATTGCACATTGCAGAGACGTGACGTGAGAAGCCCCCGTCCACAATAGACACATTCTCTGCTCGTCCCTGATTTTCTGTGCTCGCCTCCACCGTTGAGACTTCACGACAAAATTCTTTGGAATCGGCGCGTGCTGCTTGCCTGCATTGGAACAGTGACCGCTAACAGAGGGAAATTGTAATGTGTGTACTTTTGTAGTCCAAACTGGTCATTACATAAGAGGAGTTTTCTTCTCCATTCATTCTTTCACTCTCTCTCTCTCTTTCTCAGACACACACACACACACACACTCTCTCTCTCTCTCTCTCTCTCTCTCTCTCTTTCTCTCTC